AGTTGTTTTTTTTTTTTTTTTTTTTTTTCTTTTTTGGTCGTGCTGTGCAGCTTGTGGGATCTTAGTTCCCCCACGAGGGACTGAACCCAGGCCCTCAGCAATGAAAGCACAGAGTCCTAACCACTGGACTGCCAGGGAGTTCCCTGTTGCTGAAGTTTCTTAGGTGGACCCCAGAGCTCTCCCAGAACTGTTTTTGTTTGTGGATAACTGTCTAACTGTTGATCTTTGTGGGAGAAGGGAGGCTGAGGTCTCCTATCGCACCATTTTTTTGACGTCACTCACCTTTTATGTCATGCTTTTAAAGGCACAATGGATATGGATTATTTTGCTTTCAAAATAGTTGACAAAGTATGTGTTTATTGTACAGTCACTATACCTGTGTGAAAAGATTACATTATATATTGACATTCCCAGATTTATCACAATGTTCCCAACTCACAGGAAATCAATGATCAGAAAAATATGCATATTTAAAATGCAACATATCACAGCAGGATTTCTCCACAAAAATAAAAATGAAAAAATTGCAACCATAGTAAATTTCTGAGTGGCTCATGTTAGTCGAGCAAGGAAAGCCGTTTACTGATGGTGAGTTAATTAAGTCATGTTTGATTGCAGCAGCTAAAGACATATTTCTGGAGAAAATAAACTTGTTTAAGAGCAGTAGCATTTCACTGAGAACAGTTCCTTGAAGAGTTGAGGACACTGGGAGCAACATTAATAGTTAATTAAAAAAACAAAGTATTAAACGATTTCCACAGGTTTTCCTTGTCTCTTGATGAGTTGACAGATGTTACTAATACCGTGCAGTACATTGTTTATTCAAGGAGTCAATGCTGAGTTTGACTGAAGAATTACCCTCTATAAATTGTCAGCATGGAACAACTATAGATGAGAATATTTTCAAAGAAGTTGAGAAAGCTTTAATTCAGTACAATCTGAAGTGGAATCTGCTAAGATGAGTTCCAACTGATGGTGATAAAAATATGTGTGGAGCAGAGAAGGCTTACCTGAACAAATTTATAAGGCTTGTGAAATGATAGGTATTTAAAGCCTGTGGTTAATCTTGTTATTCATCAGTGGGTCATTTGCAGAAAGTTTTTCAATTTCTGTGCTTTTGAACCAGTAGCCTCCATGTTAAACTTCATTTACTCTGGTGGACTTAACAATCATCAGTTCTGTGAACTTTTGTCAAAAATAGAAGCTGAATATTTTGCCTTGCCCTACTATACAGCAGTTTGATGGCTTAGCAGTGGTAGTTTTAACACAATTTTTGAACTCAGGTCTGAGACTGAATTTTTTTGAAATGAGAACTTCCCTCAATCACTTTTATTGAACACTGACTGGTTTTGAAAATTCACTTTTGCTGCAGACTTGGTCAATTTCTCAATATAAAATTACAAGGCAGACAGTGCCCATATGCAAATGTAATGCTGTGGGAAAGTCATTTTAAGAACAACTGATGCTGTTTGAATCACAAGTAATGTCAAGCTGTTTAATATACTTCCTGTGCTGTCAAAGTTTTAAAAAGAAGCAAGATCTTCATTCCCACAAAAATTTGCAGGAGATATATTCTCTATGCTCAAACTACAGTTCCAAAAGCATTTTTGGATCTTAATGCATGTGGAAAGGAAATTTCCATATTTCAAAATCCATGTAACTTTGCAGCTGAGTATCTTCCACCTAACCTTCAATTGGAAGTGATTAATCTGCAATATAATGACATGGTAATTGGCAAATATCAAGAGAAGAACCTAATAGAATTCTGTAAATTACTTCCAAGTGATAAATATGCTCAATTAAAATCATACACTCATAGACTGATATCAGTATTTGGCCATATCTATCTGTGTAAAAGGTGTTTTCAAAGATGAAATGCATAAAATCACATACAGATCAGCATTAACAGATGAATATGTGGAACAGATTTTGATGACAGGGAATTCAAACTTTGAATCCCAATTAAATAAATTATTATCTTCCAACAAAGAATTCCATTCTTCTCATTAGTAGACCTGAATTACAAATGATTGTGCTCAATTATCATTATAGTTTGGATTTCATCAATAAAAGTTTTGTGGAAATTTGTTTTCTCTCTTTTTATTTAAGTTTCTATATAATATCCTCAATTTTGCCTCTTGGTTCACAAACCTAAAATATTTACTTTCTGGCTCATTACAGAAAAAATTTGCTGACCTCTGGTTTTGATCAATCCTGTTCTATCCCCTGGGGCTGGAAACACTGCTGGGTCAAATAAAAATCGGTATTGTTTTAACATGGGAATTCCATCAAAATAATGTATCTTGATATTAGCAAGGATCTGATGGTGTCATATGAGTAAGAAAAGTGATTGGTTACAGTTAATACGGATACATGGCTACATCATCCCTATTGCTCCAGCTGACACTGAGCAAGCCACCAAAAATGAGGTGGCTGAGGCTATTCTAGAACAGCCAAGCTGCCAGCTGACTGCAGACACATAAGTAGACTCAGGAGGAACCAGCAAAAGCCAGCCTATATCAGAAGAATTGCCTAAGCAACCCATAGGATCCTGAAAATGAATAAATGTTTCTTTTTTTGTTTGTTTTTGTTTTTTTAGGTAGCCAGTCTTTTTATCAGCACCATTTGCTTGTGCTCATCTATTGTACCCCTTTTTAGAAGACCTATTTCTTTTGCTGTGTTAAAAAAAAACAAACCCCGATTTCCCAACACCTTAGTGTGACAAAATGTTCCAGGATTAAGTTATGTAATTGCATTGCAAAATAATAATGCATCTACCTTTCAGCAGCCTTATGCAAACCGCTATTTAATTTTACTTACTCAGATTTAACAATTCTGCAATGCACAACAACCCTTTCAGGGATGCCCTGAAAAGGGCTCTTTTTTTCAATGTTGAGGTATGGCAGATCCTGTACTCTCAGCCACCAAAGCTCTAGAGTACATCCCTGGGGTTTGAGCTTGTAGACTACCATGGCTGTGACTGCTTTGGGCTTGGCAGACTCTGTGTAGGTGACTGTATCCTGGATCATGTTCATCAGAAAGACTTGGAGCACCCTGCCGGTCTCTCCATGGAAGAGGCTAGAGATGGGCTTAATGCCTCCATGCTGGGCCAGACACTGGATGGCAGGCTTCCTGATCCCCAGGTTTTTGCACAGCATTTTTCCACGGTGCTTGGCCCCTCCCTTCCCTGGGCCTTTTCCACCCTTATCAGGACTAGACATGGTTGCTTTTGCAATATAAACATTTGTGATTTTAAGCCTCTAAGTTCTGGGGCAGTTTGTTACACAGCAAAAGCTAACTGTTGTAGGTAATCAAGGTAAGATTGATTGAGAGATATCTTCTTTTTGCCCCTTCACTGTGCACCAGCAGATGGACCTATATGAACAGCATCATTGGGTTCCCTTGTGTCAGAAGATCAGAAAGAGAGAGGAGAATGAGGGAGGTCAAAGTATTAACTCCTGGGCTCTCCTCTCCCTGTTGGGTCACTGTGGACTGGCTGTGTTCCTTGACCAAAGCTCCCAATTCCTGTCAGGTAGTCCCTATGTACACAGCCTTCTCCATGTTTGGTAACTACTCCTTATTCTTGCCCCTTTAGGCTCAGAGGTGATTTTGGGGGCCTCAATGTTCCTGAGTTTCCCTTGTGATCTCTTTATTCCATGCCCACACCTTTGTTTATAGTCCCTTATTAAATGCTTCTCCATTTTCCTAATTTGATTGTGTCATCTGTTTCCTGCTGGGACCCTGACTGAGAGAGCAGGCCTTATCCAGGAGGTAATACTCAGCAAAGGCTTGAATGATTCAATGGAATGAGTCATGAGAATATGTGGGGGGAAGTGCCAAGATCCTGCAGCAGCAAGTAGGCAGGGTGATTGGAGTGGAGTTGGCTGGGGTGAGTGTAGAAGGCAAGGTCAAAGATTAACAGGCAGTGTGTGTGTGTGTTGGGGATGGAGGTGCATGGTACAGGGAGACAGATCATGTATAGTTTGTTGACCTTTGTAAGGGCTTTGGCTTCTCCTCTAAAAGAAATGGGGAGCCATTGGAGCCATCTACTCACATCTAATTAAGTCTAATAAGACTACTTTCTGTTATGTGTCGACAGTGGAGCCCTGTGACTCAGTTCTAAATTTCTCCTCCCAGTTTCATTC